TGTGGGGAATGAGGAGTTCTCAGTCTTCTATAGCTTTACATGTCAAAATGCAGTAGTCATGGAGGAGGCCAAACCACGTGACAATACAAAGGGTCAGAATTTCTGGACAGGACTAACTGTGTCAGGAGTAATGATAAGAGCCATAGTGTTACCATTTAGTGGAAAAGTTGACTCACCATGAAGTCTTTCATCATCCTTGGAGAAAAAGAAAAATCTACTGGTTTGTTTCTCAGGTAATGATGCTTCTCTGAAGAGAGAAGGGGGGGAAATAGGCAGATATTGGTTGGCTTAATGTCAATAATTTATTTACATTATTTACATTAAAAATATAAATAAATGATTCCTTAAATATACTTGTATAATGTATTCCTTAAATACAATACTTGTTTTGCTCATTTTTCCCTGAGTTAAAAATTTTACTCTACCTTCTCTCCATTCAACATTCTTCAGGCTGAGCCTTTGATAGTGAAACTTGTGGCCGGTGCTGCGGCTCAATAGGCTAATCCTCCGCCTATGGCGCCGGCACACCGGGTTCTAGTCCCGGTCAGGGCGCCGGATTCTGTCCCGGTTGCCCCTCTTCCAGGCCAGCTCTCTGCTATGGCCCGGGAGTGCAGTGGAGGATGGCCCAAGTCCTTGGGCCCTGCACTCCATGGGAGACCAGGAGAAGCATCTGGCTCCTGGCTTCAGATCAGCGCGATGCACCAGCCGCAGCAGCCATTGGAGGGTGAACCAACAGCAAAGGAAGACCTTTCTCTCTGTCTCTATCTCTCTCACTGTCCACTCTGCCTGTCAAAAAAAAAAAAAAAAAAACTTGTTTAAGCCTCCTTCCCTACTCTGGGTGCTGATACTTCACTCTCACTATTCCTTCCTCAGTTGCCCATGTTCCCCACAGGAAGGGGTAGGGGGTTGGGGATGGAAGATGGTGACCCCCAGTCAACTGCAGGATGCTATTTTTAAACCAGCATATTACTGTTGGGTTCATTTCCTTGTACATATTCTTTCTCCCACAGCCGTATCCAAATTTCAAGAAAAAGAAACATGCTCCACATTGCATAAAGCCTGTAGAACTCTTTAAGGAGCTCAGAAACAATAAGCTGTAGGAAAAGCTTAGACACTTCTTAAATATTTTTGAAGCTTGTCTAAGTTCTAAATTATGACATATATCTGCACAGAAAATTGCTTACTCAGGGCTGGGCTTCCCACGGTCTGTTTCTTCAGTAACTTCTTCTTCTTCTTCTGAACTGCTGTCTTGGAAACGAGGGTCTCCCTTGCTGACAATCTTTGCAGGTTTCACTGTTTCAACTCTGTAGGTCTCTGGAGTGTAAGAGTAAGCAATGATAGTCTTGTAACTAGACAACTAAGTATTACTGAACACATGCATTTGATTATTTTCACCATAAATACATAACTCAATTCCCAATATGTAAATTGTTAAAGTAGGGAGTTTCATCTTTTTGGATTTTCAAATAGTGAGAAACTACTATTATAATTTTGACATTGCTAGAGTGATGTCATAAGGAATACAGTAATATTATAAAAAGGTATTTTCTTCCTACTTATTTACAAACACAAAAATGAACATATTTACATTTTCAATCCCAAAGCCTCATTCAAAAACTGCTACTGCTGTGGTATAGCAGGTAAAGCTGCCACCTGCAGCACCAGCATCCAATATGGGTGCCAGTTGGAGTCCTGGCTGCTCTACTTCTGATCTAGCTTTCTGCTATGGCCTGAGAAAGCAGAAGAAGATGGCTCAAGTCCTTGGGCCCCTGCACGCCCGTGGGAGACCTGGAAGACACTTCTTGCTCCTGGCTCTGGATTGGCCCAGCTCCGGCTGCTGTTGCAGCCATTTGGGGAGTGAATCAGCAGATGGAAGATCCCCCACCACTACCTCTCCCTCTTTGTAACTCTACCTTTCAAATAAATTAATTAATCACATTTCACATTTCCAAAATTTCCCAGACATTTAAAGCAGCACTCAGGTTGCTGGTGTCCAGGAGTAATTTCAAAACTATTTTCTCATACATGGCCCTCAACGTTAGATTTACAGTTAATATCTACATCATGCCAAACTACACAATAGTCCAGGACTGACCTTAAAACTCAAAGGGAGAACACAGGCAAGACCAGAGAAGTAGGCAGAGCACGTGGTACACTGTATTTCATTTACAACAGTAAAACTACTAGATGGTGTAGCTCATTTTAGAATGCTAGTGCTGGCAGTTGATACATATCTGTCTATGTATGCTATCTTAACTGCTAATTTTTAAAGTAGAATCAGCGTAGTTAGTTGTGGCTGGATATAGAAAAATTGCATGTGTATCTTAAATATACGGTGAGGAACAGCCTCCGAAGGAATAAATGCTTTTACCTATGGCCATGATGGCCTTTAGATGTAAACCTGATGAACTGGAATACAAAACTGTAGGTAATGTATTTGTACTTTTCTCTAGGTTCTAGTGAATCTCCAAGAATAAACTTTGAAATAATTGACATATCGATAGCATGGTATGTTTGTAAGAAGCCAAGAATGTTACCTATACTTTCTTTTCTCTATCTGTACGGCACTAGTTTTAAGTCACTGCATTTAAAACTGCATTGAAGACATGAAGCTATTACAGTATATGACTTACTATTACCTCTTTATGATGGTTTTTACTTAACAGAAAGGATGCTGTATAGCAGTCTCTGGCTTCCCTTCATATGGCAACCAGCTATTAGTATGTTCACTTAAATGCAAAAATAGTTTCTACCACAGCGTAAGGCCCACCATGTTATTATGGTCATGGTACTACTGAATTTCCTACTGTTAAATTTGTTTTAAAGTTAATTATTTTATTTTGCAAGGCAGAGAGAGAGAGAGAGAGAAAGAGATCTCTCATTCACTGGTTCACTCCCCAAAAGCCTACAACAGCCAGCAGCCAGCAGCCAGGGCTGGGCCAGGCTGGGCCATGGTGAAGTTAGGAGCCGGGAACTCAACCCAGGTCTCCCACTTGAGCCATCACCTGCTGCCTCCTAGGGGGCACATTAGCAGAAAGCTAGAATCTGGCGTGCAGCTGGGACTTGAACACAGGCACTCCAATACAGGATGCAGGTGTCCTATCCCAAGCGGCACCTTAACTGTTGTACCAAATGATGGCCCTGTGAATCTCATATTGGTTACACTTAATGCAGACTCAGTCAGGTAAGTTCCAATTGCCTGAAATGAAAAATTGGGAAAAAAGAAAAGTACCTTCCTTTACATCTGTGGTGTCTGAATCAAAAAAGGAGAACGTGAACCCTGCAGGCTGCCTGTCCCCATTAGTGAGAGCTGCAGGGTCCTGGATCTCCTGAGCTTTCTCTCCACCACAGTCCTCATTCCTGGGCATATCTTCTTCCTTTTCACTGGTGCCTTTTGTAGTTTGGAATATTTCTTTCAAATCCATTGCAATGTTATAATACATTTCTTTAGATACTTCAGGTAGCTTTTCAGCTTCTTCCCTTTTCTTCTTTCTTTTAGCTTTACTGCAATGACAGACATGCATACCACAAACAAACAAGTTTTGAATCATTTCCAGAATGCAGGAAAGGAAAACACCTGGGATAATTTTAATTCATTTCAACTAAGAAATCCACCATAACACTCTACTAATAAAAGCAGGATCTTGACTAGTAAGCATTTTCTTACACAAAACCATCTTAACTAGTTGGTATATTGAACATCAGTCAATACCATCTCTGTGTGTCAGTTGTTAAATCAACAACAGGAGTCACTGCGCACTTACTCCCCGTGTAGGATCTCTGTCCTTAATGTGTTGTACTATGTGAATTAATGGTAAAACTAGTATTCAAACAGTACGTTTTATTTTGTGTGTCTGTGTGGGTGCAATCTGTTGAAATCTTTACTTAGTATATACTAAGTTTATCTTCTATATATAAAGATAATTAAAAATGAATCTTAATGAAGAATGGGATGGGAGAGTGAGTAGGAGATGGGATGGTTTGGGGGTGGGAGGGTGGTTATGGGGGGAAAACACTATAATCCAAAAGTTATACTTTCAAAATTTATATTTATTAAATAAAAGTTTTTAAAAAAATTCCATCTCTGTGCTTCTGAACTACATTCAGAAATTATTTCTAAACTAATAGCTACATTAGCAGGGAGGAACAACCAGGACTGTTAACAAGTACCTATTTGGGATGCCAGCACTGCAGAGGCTTAACCTTCTGTACCACAGGACTGGCCCCCTAGATTCCTGAGTTACCAGGGACAAGTGGTCTTTTGTACTTGTTTTCCTCATTGAATGATAGTTACAGTGGATCTCCTATGCTTATTCTACCATTGTATGTGGAGGGGAAGGACAGATAACATGTTTGTTTGTTTATTTTTAAACATTTATTTATTTGAAAGGCAGTTAGAGAGAGAGAGGGAGAGACAGAGATCTTTCATTTGCTGGTTCACTCCCCAAATGGACCCATGAGATGGGGCTGGACCAGTCTGAAGATAGGAGCCAGGAGCTTCTTCTGGGTCTCCCATGAGAGTACAGGGGCTGAAGTACTTGGATCATCTCCTGCTCCCTTTCCAGGGGCATTAGCAGGGAGCTGGTCAGAACAGCTGGGACTTGAACCAGGGCCCATATGGGATGCTGGTGCTGCAGGCAGCAATTTAACCTACTGCACCACAGTACCAGCCCCTCTTTATTCATTTTTAAAATTTATTTGAAAGGCAGAAAAACAGACAGAGATTTTCCATCTACTGGTTCACTCTCCAAATGCCCCTATCAGCCAAGGCTGGGCCAGGCCAAAACTGAGATCCCAGAACTCAATCCAGATCTCTCATGTAGGTGGCAAGGAACAAAGGAACCAAAGACTGCTGATTCCTAAGGTGTATATTAGCAGGAAGCTGGAACTGGGAGTATAGCAGGGTTGTGAACTTAAGCACTCTAATATGGGATGAGGGTATCCTAAGAAAAGGATTCTTAACTGCTGGACCAAATGCCCACCCCTACTTATCTTTTTAGTTCACAGGCCTTCTGATCAAAAAGAAGTGCATCCAATATAGTATAAAGACCTACTACAGGTAAATTTCATCTGGACCTAGATCTGATTTGGATGACAACATCCTTAACTTTGAGCTGATGCAGACTTCTGAGAAATCTAAGGAGGCGAGCATATTTGGTGTGTGGTAGAAAGTAGACAGTTTGTGGCCGGAGGGCAGACTGTGGTTGATTTTGCATGTCCACAAATACGTCGATATTTCACCCTTTAAGAAGTGGTGGAAACCACCCCTACCAAAGTATGGGATGGACTTAATGGTCTGTTTCAGGAAAATCAAATAAGGCAGATGTAGCAGTGTGTTAACTTCTAAGACTAAATCATAAAATACATATTTCCTTTCTTTTTCGTGTCACCTATTTGAGGAAAGCCAGCTGCTACATTGTTAGAGTGCTTACTCAGCCTGATGGAGAACCTACGAGGTGAAAGACTGGGATCCCCTGCCAACAGCCAGGTGAGTGAACCATCTTGGAAGCAGATGCTATCAGCGGAATCAGATCGGTGAAGACTGAAATCCCAGGAAACATTCTAACTATAATCTTTTAGGAGAGCTTGGCTAGAACCACCTACTGAAGCTCCTCCCAAATTTTTGATCCACAGAAACTTGGCATTAGTAAATGTTTTGCTTTTAAGATGCTAAGTTTTAATTTGTTATGCATCAAAAAATAATACACCTTATTTGTGAACAAGAAAAAGTTTAACACATTTTATAAAATACTCCCCTCAGGCCCAGGGTGGGTAAAGCAGCTGCCTGCAGCAGCAGCATCCCACATGGGCGCCAGCTGGAGTCCTGGCTCCTCTACTTCCAATCCAGCTCCCTGTTAATGGCCTGGAAAAGCAGCAGCAGATGACCCAAGTGCTTGAGCCCCTACACCCACATGGGAGAACTAGAAGAGGTTCCTGGGTCCTATCTTTGGTCTGGCCCAGCCCTGGCCATTGCAGCCATTTAGGGAATGAACCAGTGGATTGCAGATCTGACTCTCTGTCTCTCCCTCCCTCTTTCTCTTGGTCTGCTGTGACTCTTTTTAAAGCCAAATTGAAGCTTATAATTTGAAGACAATTTTAGATTCACAGAAAGTTGCAAGGACAGAATTTCCAAATATCTTTCACCACTTTTCTGTAATGAAAGCATCTCACATAATTGTGATACAATTGTCAGAACTAAAAGATTAACACTGGTATATTACTATCAAATAAACTCAGAGATTTTATTCTGATTTTCAGTTTCTCCACAACATAATTTTTTTGATTCAGGGTCCAATTCAAGATACAACATTCCTTTTATTGATTTAAACTGCAACTAACAGTAGGAAAAATGAAGGATTTAAACCAAGTTGTTACTGGCTGCTTCATATATTTGCTGTATTGATCAAGCTGACTGCAGATCTACAGGAAGATCAAACATTTTTAAAAGAAGATTTATTTATTTTATTTGAAAGGCAGAGTCACAAAGACACAGGGTAAGCCAAAGATTTTTCAGCCACTGTTTCACTCCCTAAAATGGCAGCAGTGACTGATGGTGAGCCACGCCAAAGCCAGGAGCCTAGACCTCCATCTAGGTCTGCCATGTGGATGCTCACATGGGATGTTAGTGTCCCAGGCAGTGGCTTAACTTGCTGCACTGCAATGCCGGCCCAGCAAAATGAAACTTTTACCTCACTGGCATAGTGGAGTGGGTTGAATGTTTGCCTCCCAAAAGAGGTACCCACATTCTAAATCCTGAAACCTATAATTTTGCCTTATTTAGGTAAAAGGTCTTACTAAGGAAGTTAAGGACTCGGAGATGAAGATAGCATCCAGATTATCCAAGTGGGTCCAAAAGGAAACCTTAAATCTCCTTGTAAGAGACAAAGAGGACCCACACGGGAGAGACCTGCAAGAAGCTTCTGGCTCCAGGCTTCAGATCAGCTCAGCTCCGGCCATTGCAGCCAGTTGGGGAGTGAACCAGTAGATGCAAGACTTTCTCTCTCTCTCTGCCTTTCAAATAAAAAAACAAATAAATAAATCTTTAAAAGAAAACCATTAAAAAACAAAACAAAACAAAACAAAAAAAAAAAAACACCACACACAAAGGGAGACCAGGTTAAGCTGCTATCTGCAGTACCAGCATCCCATATGGGTGCGGGGTCCAGTCCTGGTTGCTCCTGATTCAGCCCCATGCTAATGTGCCTGAGAAAGCATCGGAAGATGGGCCCAGGTACTTGGGCCCCTAGACCCCATGGGCGAGACCCAGATGAAGCTCCTGGCTCCTGGTTTTAGCCTGGCCCAGCCCTGGCTGTTGTGGCCATTGTGGAATGAACCAGCAGAGGGGAGACTTCTCTTTTTGCTTCTGCATGTCCCTCTCTATAATTCCATCTTTCAAATAAATAAATAAATCTTAAAGAAAAAAAAAGACACACACAAAAATGAGGAGGAAGCAGAGATAAAGTGATATAGCTTCAAGTAGTCACCAGAAATATGGAGTAATGAACAAAATGGATTTGTTTCTCTGAACTTCCAGGGTTAATGCAAGCGCTTCTAATACCCTTGGATGTTTAGCCACCAACACTGGTTTTAAGGCACACAGTTTATGATAATCTGTCACAGTATCCATAAGAAACTAATACACGGTGAAGGCACCACACTAGAGTAGGAGCACATATCAACGTTCATGTACATGAGATCCTTTTACGAAAAGCAAGCCCTAATGCACCATGTAAATAATTCTTCTCTATCTCCACCCACCAACCTCCTCTGTAAAGTAAATACAGTGGGACCAATGGGTGGAATATTGGTTACTGTTTTTCTCTCATTGCCTGAAATGAGATTAAATCAGGATCCTACTGCTAAAAGAATTAGCTCTATTTACCTTTCTTTTGGTTTTTCATCTTTTTTTCTTTCATAAGTCGCATGGTCATGTCTCGTTGGATCATAACGTATGATGTCCCTGTATAAAGAAAGGAGACACTGTTGGAAGAAGTAAATCTGACACTGAAACAAAAAAAAATTAATAGCAAAGTATAACTCAACATTAGGAGGATTCTAATCTCAGGGCAAGATGAAGCTAAGTAATATCAAAGAAAAGAATTATTCTGAGAAATAGTATTTTAAATTGCCTACTTTAGAGTTTCCCTGTTACCTTCTACAGCCTTAAAAACTGTGTTTAATATATTAAAATACATACAGATAAAATGATATAACACCTGTGATTTGCATAAAATATTTCATTGGTAAAGCAGGAAATGGATAAAGGCATAGAACACTGGTCACTTGTTGGTGACTCTAGAAGCTAGGTGATGGTACATAGGGCTTTCATTACACTATTCTCTCTAAATTACATTTTTAAATTTTATAATAATCATTTATTTAGCTTAATAGTTTTATTGAGAACACTTAAATTGTTTTTCAAACATTATATTAATGAAAGCAATGCTGCTATAACATGTAAGTCTAAAAGAAATAATTTTAGATTCTTGAAGTGAAATCACTGGGTCACAGATTAGTAAATGCATTTTAGGATCTGATACACAGGGGCCGGCACTATGGAGTAGCAGGTAAAGCTGCCTGAAATGCTGGCATCCCATATGGGTGCCAGTTCGAGTCCCAGCTGCTCCACTTCTGGCCTAGCTTTCTGCTATGGCCTGGGAAAGCAGTGGAAGGTGGCCCAAGTCCTTGGGCCTCTGCACCCACGTGGGAGACCTGGAAGAAACTCCTGGCTCCTGGCTTTGGATAGGCACAGCTCCAGTTGGAGCCGTTGCGGCCAACTGCAGAGTGAACCGGCAGATGGAAGACCTCGTTCTTTGCCTCGGCCTCTCTGTAATGCTGCCTTTCAAATAAATAAATACATCTTAAAAAGAAAAAAGACCTGATACATATTGCCAACTTCTCTCTCAAGGAAGTTAAGAATACCCCAGTTTTAAATTAAGTACACGCAGGCATTTATGACAAAGGAAAATATAGTAGAATGGGATAGAATGTAAAACATACTTAAATTTCTTAGCAGCTACTGTTCCCTTGCTTGAAGAACTGCTTAAGTTCATTTGCAAAACACTTTGTACAACATTCAGGGCTTTCTTTTTTTCTGCAGCAAATTCCTCTTCCTCAGCAGTTTTTTCTTCATTTATCTCTTTGACAGAAAAAGATAATTAGTAAAATCTTGGCCAACATATCTTAAAAAAATCTCAATCTCAAAAGCTTATCCAAATATCCAACAGTTGCAAAGCCCAACAGGGTTGGAAGAAAAGCTTAACCTCATTTCATTAACCTCCCTATCCCCAGGATTTGTAGGCCACAGCAAACCCAGAAACTGCATGACTAGCAAACACAAAGTCCCACTTTTATTTGTAATTATGAAAATGAAATTTGGATTTAATGGTTTTCAGTGCCACATCTAAAATCTACAAGGTCAAGACTGACACATGTTAGTATAGCAGAATGCTAATTATGTATCTAAAGTGATTACTGATTCTTTGATTTTTTGGTTAACATTCTAAAAATGTAATCTAAATTACATGCATATCTAAAAACGATAAACAGCGAAAGATGGTAATTTTACTGAATGTCGATATGACTTATTAGTAGAAAATGGCTTCAGTTTTTGAGTCTGTTTAACATTACAGTAAGAAAGTCATGTGCCAAGTACACAAAGGCATCATGGAACCTTATAGGCTTTTATGCTCAACTATTAGAAACAAATATCAGAGAATAAAATTGAACAGTTAGTTTCCATTATGGAATTATAAAAGAAGACTAAGACTTTGAGACACTTTCAACTTAGTGAAGGATAAAATAAACCAACCAAAGAAGGCTGAGATTAAGTTTGACTGGATCAAGCAACACTGTGTATCTATGCCAGGTAGGGCAGGAGAGCATGCCAGGTGCAGGAAACAAAATGAATACACAAGTTGAGGCAAAAATGTACAGAGTTTATGTTGTACATAAACTTATGTTGAAACATAAGAAACTTTTATTATTCAACCATTTTTGACTTCCAAAAACAGTGATTTCAATTTTTACCAAATAGTAATTATTAACAGAATACAATGCTGAGAAGCACTCCAAGTGATATAGGCTAACTTTGCTGCTTACTTGCAGAGCAAACAAAAAAAAATTGTGCCTCAAAAATTGGGAAGGGAAGGAAAGAAAGGTCAGAGGCTCCATGTATGACCACCTTTAAAACACAGAGGGGCCAGTGCTGTGGCATAGCAGGTAAAGCCGCCACCTGCAGTCCCAGCTTCCCATATGGGCACCAGTTCGAATCCCAGTTGCTCCATTTCTGATCCAGCTCTCTGCTGTGGCCTGGGAAAGCAAGCCCAAGTCTTTGGGTCCCTGCACCTGCATGGGATACCCAGAAGAAGCTCCTGGCTCCTGGCTTCAGAACAGTGAAGCTCTGGCCGTTGCAGCCATCTGGGGAGTAAACCAGTGGATGGTCTCTCTGCCTCGGCCTCTTTAATGCCTTTTAAATAAATAAATAAATCTTTAAATAAACACACACACATGAGGTTTTGAGGAGTTGGTTTTAGAGAGAGAAGTTTAACTCTGGACTTGCTAAGTTTCAGCCAAGCAAAGGATGCTCTGTGGGAAACATCCAGCAGGTTTAAGAAAGAGTAGCTGGGAGCTCTGCAGAACCACTAGTAACAAGGCAGATCCACACTTAGGAAATGCTCAGATTCAAGTACAAGCTGAAGCCACAGGTCTCACAGAACATCAGGAAGAGCCTACCTCTGTAGGCAAAGGGGAAACTAGGAACCAAGGATGGAGAACAAGTTGTTCACAGATTCAAAGGACATAACCCAAGAGTCATAAGGAAACAAACGAAAGCAGCAGGAGGTAAAGTAACCTCTCTATGTATATCCTATAACCAGCTATTCCCAAGGTTCTGTCATTCCCGTGCTTTCAACGTGGAATTTTGAGTGGAAGATCTGAAACATAAGGTGGTGTGGTCCTTGGAGAACTGACTACAAGCCTCTGTGAACTTTGGTTTCCTGAAATGTACAATACTAACAACAATCACCTCAAAGAATTCAGAGGATCAAGTCAGAGATTGTATTCAATAAAAAATCAACCACTAGGGCCCAGCCCTGTGGTACAGCGCAGTAAGCTGCCACTTGTGATGCTGGCATCTGAGCACAGCCAAGCTCCACTGCTCTGCCTCCAATCCAGCTTCCTGCTAATGCATCTGGGAAAGCAGCAGAAGATGGCCCAAGTAGTAGCACTTCTACTACTCACATGGAGTTCAGGGCTTCTAGCTTTTGCCCTGGGCCAGCCCCAGCCATTGTGGCCATTTGGGGAGTGAACCAGTAGATAGAAGATCTCTCCTTCTCTGTCACTCTGCCTTTCAAATAAATAAATAACTTTCAAAAACAACAAAAAACAAACCGCTACTGAATTAAATATAATTTGCTTTTCCATTTCAAATTTAGAACTGAAAGAGAAATGAAGTGGAAACTTGAAAACTGGCAGGGTTGGAGGGATGGCTTTTCGGGACTCATGAGACAAAACATTTACAGAAAGAGGAAGACAAAAGAAGAGAAATGGGAAGCATGTAAATAAAAGTGAAAAAGGGAGTAATAAGAAGGGTGAATGGAATTTAACATTAACTCAGGAAGGAGGGAAAAACTAAGAGAAGAGAAAAATTTTGAGACTGAGAGACAATCAAGTTCAAGGTGGCCATGTAAGAGGTAAGGATTTTTAAAAAGTTATCACTGCTGGAAAAAAATCTTACAGGAAGACAAAAGTAAGAGAATTTGGATGCTTCTGATAGCATTATTACTCTTAGATATCCAAAGAAAGATGAAGTCAGGTTTAATGGCATTCAATGGTATTTTGCTTTTTCAAAAAAATCTGTACCAGGCATGCCCACTGAAGGAAGACGACACTTTATTAGAAAGCCAAGAGTAACTTCATGGTCTCAGCCAGAACCTGCTATTTTACCGACATGTGCTGCCTGGTAGGGACCTCGCCTGCCTCTCACATCAGGGATGAGATGAAAGAAAAATGGCACCTTTGGTAGATGTCACCTATTTATCCTTTCTAGCGCCTTCAAATAATTAAATCTCATTTAGTAATTTTAAATGTACAAAGAAACTTAAGAAATGCTAGGTTAACCAAACATTTGACTACAAAATCCTTAAACTAATGCCTTGGGATGCAGTTTCTTTTTATGTTCAAGAAAGGAAGCACACTTGCTGTTTCCTCACGTCCCAGCTACGACATCAGGACTGTCTGAATAATGAAGCTTTTACCTTCCTGTTCCTCTTCACTGTCACTCTCTAGAAACCGAGAGTCCATGCGGAATCTGTCATCAGTGCCAAAGTGAGACTGTAAATCCATGAGCTACAGACAAAAAGCAGAAATAACTGTTACATTCCCAAGAAACTGCTTCTAACGAGGACTCTCCACATGCACCTCCCTATGCCATGAAATTCACTACACTGATACGTCCCAAGTTCACCCTCCATCAACAGAGAGAACCACAGAGGACTTGACCCAAATTAAACATCACACTGGAATGTGGGTCAGTCTGCCTGTGTTTATTTAGATTTATGGACAATGTAAAAAATATGGACATGTTGCAAGTTTTACTATTTTCAGTCTCACTAACCTTCTGTCCAGCTCTGCCCTCAAACTGAGGTTTAATTTTGAACCTGTTACTGTCATCTTCAGCATCCGATTCCTCATCGTCACTGCTGTCAAACAGCTTCCCAGATGCTTTACCCATGGGCTCCTGTTACAC